AGGGGGTCAGGCTGGATGATCTGTTCAGGTCCCTCCTGACCCTAGCTACTATGAAACTATGTAAACCAGGGCAAAAATATTTTTTGAAATTGTATTAATGAATGTTTTAGATGTTCGCTTTTTAGAATCTAATTTGGTATTTTTCTGGTTCTGAGATGGCCAAACCCCTTGCTGAAAGGAGTACTTTTGGGGGCAAAGGTTCCAGTCTCAAGATGGTAACCAGGGGGTGGGGCACCTGTCAAGGGGTGTGGCTACCCATGCGGCCCTTGATAGCTTGCCAAAACTCAGTAAGCCACCCGCCACCCAAAATAATTGCCCGCCCCTGTCTTAAGAGGTAGTTCTAACAAGTATCATTCAGTTGTAAGTTTTCAAATCTTGTCAACACAGGTGTGGAATTGCAAATATTAACACCTACAGGGTTTTCTTAAAGATCTCACTGTCATCTTGGCAGTCTTCTTCTTTCTCCTCCATAAATAGCACTTATTTTTATCCCATCACCTCTGTCCCTTGAGATGCTTACAAAAGATGTAAGCTTGTCAGTGGCCCAGAACTTAAAGGATTAGACAGCAGGCCCCTTCAACACAGCGTTCGATTCAAGTACTATGAAAATTATTCTGGTAAAACTGCTGTTCAAAGAAATGATTCTCCATATGAAAACACACACATAGAACAGCCTTTGTCAGCCAGGCCAAACAAGCTGGGCCCCAAGCTGGTTTGTTCACTTAAACACAGTAAGTATGTATGTATGAGTGTATGATTGCTTATTATGGCAGTCTGAAGAAACAAGTGGATGCAGATATGCCTGCCAAGGTCCCGATGTGTGGGTTTTTCCTTTTTGACTGACCAAGGAGGAAAACACAACACACTACAGACCCTTGAGTACATTTGTTACTGTTGGTATTTATTTCCCATTCTTGCCCTGTAAAAATGGGATTGTGAATACCACATGAGAAAACGTTACTGATAACTAGAGCTATGAGGTGGACAAGTGCTGGAAAACACTCACTTGTGGACGAGTTCTATTTCATGTCAAACTGATGCAGCAGCATCTACCAACCAGCTATAAATTCACTAAAACTTCTAATGGTCAGTTACCAGCATGGTTACTTAAATTCAGGTGAACAAAAGAGCCATAACATGGCTAGGGTTACCCAATCACAATATGAAAACTCACCTGCAGACTGTACCCCAAGGCTGAAGGCAGTCACTGGCTGTATGGTAGCTGCTGTGGTTGCTGCAGTGCTGGCAGCAGCTGGGATTGCTCCAAAGCTTAACCCTGTAGGCATGGCTTGCTGTGTTGTGCTTCCCATAGGGCCGATACTGAAGTTGGGAGCACCAGTCTGGGTTGCTCCCCCAGTGGAAAAGTTGAAACCTCCAGTTGACCCAGAGTGGGTGGTAGTGGTGGTGGTAGCGGCAGTAGTACAGCCAAAAATAAACCCAGAAGGAGCTGCTGCCTGACTAGATGGTGCACTGCTTGGTGCAGAGCTACCAAGTCCAAAGCCACCTGTAATTCCTGTAGTCTGAGTTGTACCACTACTTCCCAAGTTTAACTTTGGTGCATTTCCCCTAGATAGAAAAAACACTGAGGTGAACTAATTTATGACCCATAGCCAAGTTTGCTACCAAAAGGGCAGTTTTGTTTTCCTTTAAGGCCTACGATATGCTGAGATAGGCATTTTAGATAAGAGGAGTCTCATGAGGATCAGCTTTGCATCAGATTTCTCCCTCTAGTTGACTGTAGCCCAAGTCTGACATGTGCTAAAATGCAATTCCTGCCATAACCTCTCCTGTCAACTCCACTTACCTTGATGTTCTTTTAATTACCCACTTTCCAGCCAAGGCTCTTTTCACACTACCTTTATGCTTGAAACAGCTTCCTTGCTCTTACATGCTGCAGATCCTCCCCATCCCTCTTCCACTAAATTCCCACAAGACTATCCTTTCAGGTGGCTTTTCACTGCTAGTCTCCACTCAGGCACAATTCCCAGTAATGTCAACAGGAAGTTGGCAAAGCTAGCCCAATTCTTATTGCCTTCACTCTGCTTCTGTCAACATTGACCAAGAAATATTACCGGAAAGAAAACTTTTCCAGGACTGGGTACTAGACTAGATTCTACCATAGGACTCCCAAACCCACAACCACTACCCAAAAATAGACCTACCACCTGCTGACAGGGGCTGAATGGTCTCCCTCACATTGAAAAAAAGACTAACAATCCAGATACTGTTCTCAAGAGGAAAGA